TCTTTGCAACTGCTCTCAATCATAAGATTCTCGAACTGCATCATAACATTACCTTACAAATTAAACTGTCAAGGTAACAGTTTCTAGAGTATTTTATGTTAATTGATTAATTATTATGATTTATAATTTCTCCTTTTCTGTAATCGTCACCAGAATATAAATTAGTTGACAAAGTATTTAAGTCAAGGGTTTTGAATGTTAAGGTTAGAGATTTTGGCAAGTGTCATCTGCAGTTTATATGTCCTATTGCCCAGCTCTGCCACTGATAATTCTGGCTTTAGCCATTTTGCTAGCTGATGTCAATGATATGCCATTAAAAATATTGACCCAGTTTAAGTAGACCAATTTATATAACTTCCAATCATATTACTTAGAAACTGAAATTTTTACTATTGGCAAGACAACAATGAAATTTTTACTATTGGCAAGTCTTCATTTTAACATAAAAAGTTAACAAAAAAGTTGTTTTAACCTTCACAGGACTGGAACTACTCTTATATATGCCCTCGCTGGGCGACAAATTTCTCACATGGTGCCATATTACTATCTAATTTTTTTGTCTGCATTTCGAACTTTAAGCCTAAAATGTCTCTAAAAATGCGGTTTCACACATGCAAAACCACGTTTTGAACATGCAATTTAAGCTAAAAATCCAAAACAAAAACGAAAAATTTAGATAGCAAAAATGTAAATTTCCTAACCAAAAATATTTGACAAGAATTCATGTACACAGCAATATGTTTTAACTTAACAAAACACCACAGAATTTCACAATTTATGCAGTGAAGGAATCTATGAACTACGCACACCTAGCTTAAATAAATTAACATGACAACAATAAATTTGAAAGAATACCATGTATACAGTGTTCTGTTTAAAGTTTAAAAAAATCTACGAATTGCACAATTTAAGCAGCGAAGGAATCTACAAATTACTCACACCTCGCTTTAATAAATTAACAATAAATTTCAAAGAATACCATGTACACAGCTTTCTGTTTAAACTTTAAAAAATATCTACGAGTTGCACAATCTTACGCAGTGAAGGAATCTACGAAGTATGCACACCTCGCTTTAATAAATTAACATAACAATAATAAATTTCAAGAATACCATGTACACAGCATTCTGTTTAAACTTTCAAAAAAATCTATGAATTGCACAATCTAGGCGTTGCAGACTAATCAACAAAATAAACTAAAATAAATTTCAAACAATTAAAAAAACAACAATAATGACAGAAATTCATATTAAAAAAAACAATGAACATAACATTCTACAAAATAAGAACAAGAATAAAATAAATGCACTTAGAATGAATGAATGCTTCTTTGAACAGCAGAAATACCAATTTCAAACAAACATCATCAAAACAATTTCACCATAAATTTGTTAAAAGTCTCTTCTCCCATTTCAGAACAACGATGGAACAATACATAAACCACCAAATAAAACACAAAAATCGCATTTCCGATTATAAGAAGGCAATGTAGCTTTAACATACCGCCACATAATCTCTATCATGACAGCCAGACTCACTAGCCACAAAATTGATACTATCTTTCACAAAAGAAAATGTTTAAAACCTCCTTCTCCTAAATGCTTGTAGAATTTCCAGCCACCTGAAAAAATAGTTCTACCAGGCACGCAACTAAAATTTTGCCAACAGTCATAAATCACTTAACTACCACACACCACACGAACCAACTAGCAAATCCAAGTTTCCACGTAAAAAGGGTGACCACAGAAACCAACATCACCCCCAAATGCATCGCAGAACATGTAATCGCACCAAAAACCAGCACCCAACACATATCGCTGCATTTGGCAACCTGAGGGTGCATATAAGAGTAGTACCATAGGACTTAATACACTCACTTCCAAAAGTTAAGCAAGAAGATTGGAGACTTAAACAGAATTATGTATAAAGTGAAATAAACAGCATAAAATGAAAATAAAAAAGAACATTAATAGAGTATGTGATCCCCCCTCATCTGTATGCAAAGTTTACACCTTGTGACCATGCTTTCCATTACGTGGTCAACCACCGCAAAATTAAGCAATTGCCATTCTTCTTGTAGAGCAATTTCCAGCTCAATAAGAGTGGCTGGAGGTGAGAACGTGAAGTGAAGATACAGCAACGGCCTGAGAGCATCCCAAAGATTTTCAATGGGATTAAGGTCGGAATAATATGCTGTGCCATGCCATACGCGCAATCCCTTCACTCTCCAGGTAGTCATCAACAATGTCAGCTCTATGGGGACGTGCATTATCGTCCATTAAAACAAAAGCAGGGCCAACTGCTGCAGCATACAATCTCACAATGGGTTCTAAGGACTTCATCTCGATACTGGACAGTCATCAAAGAACCCCATTTAAAAATGTGCATGTCGGTGTGGTATCCTAATGAAATCCCTGCCCACACCATAATGTTTCCACCTCAGAATACGTGATGTTCGGTGATGTTTTGGAACTGATTGTGTGTTCGTTGTTCACGCCATATCCTTATACACTTGTCATCTGGCTCCAGAGCAAATCTTGACTTATCAGTAAACTTGACATTGCCCCAATCAGACACATTCCAATTGACATGTTCCCGGCACCACTTCTTAATTGAGGAACACAAACTCGAGGTACCCGGGCATACAGTCAACTCATATGTAATCTTCGGCGTACAGTAGCTGCAGATATCGCCTTACCAATGGACGCTGTAACTACAGATGTCACACGTGTGGAGGTCGCTCTAAGATTCCGCTTGGCTACAATAGCAATATATCGATCTTCCACGGGTTTGTAACAATTGGGCGACCGGCTACGGGCCTTCGGACAACTGTCTGTGTGGTTTGGGATTGTTTCCAGAAACGTGACATTACAGAATGATGAACGCCGAAGAAAAGAGCAACATCTGTGATCGACTGTTTTGTTTCATTGCGCTCCACAGCAGCACGCCAGTGCTCAGAATCTTCCATTCGTCTTCTGGAAGTCCTAGAAATATGTATGTCTTGAAAACAAATTGTACGAAAGTTTTAAACACCTTCTATCAGCACTTACAATTAACTCCTGTAACCCTTCATAAAGCTGGCTTCTCATAAAACTGCCTTTTTTACATATTTCTTTGACATAAAAGCATGACTGGTCGTTACCTAACATATTTGCATACTTCCATCTACCTCTGCAGTGAATTGCATCCTCTTCAATTATGATTGGCTTCTGGAAATTAGCATTTTCCTCTCCGTGCTTAACTTTTGGAAGTGAGTGTATTTACAGACAGAGGAAAAACTTTTCTGCCAGTCTAACAAGATCTAAAGGACTTGGATTTAATACTCCACAATGAGAATTACGTGAAAAGATAACCCTATAAGTTATAAATAATTCTCAGTGCATGGTTTTCACATTATAAAAAAAATATAGGTACTTTTCCTTTATATCATAAAATATTGTAAATTGTAAGAATAAACACTATGATATAATAACACATAATAATTAATAATAAGACAATGATAAAAATAAATTTAACTTCAAAAAGGGTAGAAGGAGCATTACTCATATAAATTAGTGTTTAATTCTTTTATTAGTGATATAAAGATTCACATCAGGAAGATATGAACATTTTTTATTATTTGGGAGAATTCACCATTGCTGGAAATAGTCTATTGAAATTTTTTATTGCCAATAATTCAAAAGGTCATAAGGTGACACCAAACAACACAAGACTCAAAAAGAGAACTTTGAGGATAAAAATGGCCACTAAAACATAATGAGATATGACTGTCAGATTTGCAGGCAGATAAAGGAAAAGTACCAAAATATAATATTGTTTACACACTAATAGATATTTCTTCATATAGGCTACCATCAAAAGGAGAGAGCTTTGTGTGCAATCTTTTTTGATTAAAATGGCATCTTACTGCTTTATAATAGTGAACAGAACTAATCTAACTTCAATTCAGATTCAGAATCCTTACACATCTTTGCCTTATAATTAACCTTACAAGTATACAATTAGCAACCAATAATATGCCATAAATAAGTTCAAAATATAAATTTTGAGATATACATTTTTCACTGAGAATGCAGTCGAATAACCCTTATTTTTTTTTGAACGAAATACAGTTTTAATGTCATGCAATTCGTTAAACATTCATGGGAATGTGACATTTGAATAAATTATGGCTAGTTTAACTAATGTAAACCAAAAAGAAGTTAGTGGGAAAAAAAAATTCGGTACTTTTCCATTTCGCCAGCGCAAATCACGCCAAGCAGACTTTATTGGCGACAACATACAATATACAAAAATAAAAAATGTTAACAAATGTTAGTTCTAAGAATTTTTATTTTGAAGGCATAAACATTTTAATATCGTTTAAAGTTTTGTAAAAAGACAATAAATTTGTAAAAAGACGTTAATTTAAGAATTTACTGTGCTTTCATGGTTCAAAATCCTGATTCGCCGGTTCATATCACTTGACCCCAAGTGATCTCATCTCACGTAAACTACATTGCAAAAATCTAATTCTCTCAGTAATTACCTACATTAATTTCAAGTTAAATCTTAATTTGGAATACATCTTTAAATGCAAGAATTATTTCAATTCGTACGAATAGCTTACTCAGAAATTATGTAAAACCGCAGTGCTTTACTTCGCTAATGCATTCTCATTAGAATTGACGAATTTAACCTCTGACTTTTCTATGTTTTCGCCTTCGGGTGAGCGGTGTGATTGCATCCTAATTCACTTAATTACCGCGAATGGCATAATAATTGAAATATCTGGTAAAATTTCTATGTATGCCAGTATTGAAAGAAACGTCAATCTCATAAGAAATGGCTGCGACTTATTTTGAAAGTGAGGCGTAAAAGGTTACCAGCGAGGATATTCTGTTTGGCATCAATTGTACCATTACTGGCGACTTTATCGCCTGCGCCGGCAAAACGGAAAAGTACCAAAAATTCAAAGCCCCCTAAGATACTATAAACCAAAATATATATACAAATCTTACCTGCAAAGTATAGGAATTGCTAGCATCATCATGCCGAATAGAATATCGTTGATCTGGAATTAACTGTGTGCTGCCAGTTGATATAATAGAGTTTCGACCATTTTTATCAATTTTTACCCACAAAACCTACATTATAAAAAAAAGGCAAATAAACATATATGTAAATTAATAAAATTACATCATTAATATCCAATAAAGTGTAAAATATTTCGGTTAGAGTAGACTGAAGGGTACCCTTTGTATTATCACAAAGTTGTCGTTTCATTTATCGCCAAGTTGTTGTTTTGTTTATCGCCATGTTGTTGTTTCATTTATGGTAACTTGAGTAGTTGAATGTTCCGTAAATATACTTTTACCTAGATTTGGGTGCTCCTTTGACATTTTAGTAAAAATATATTGATGTGTAAATGGACAAAGTCAAGGGAGTGCGCAATGCCAAGTTTGTGCAATTCTCTGATTTTTTTAAGTGAAAATAGGTCAACATGTACATGGGATAAAGTCAAGAGAGTGCGCAATGCTTAGTTTGTGCAATTCTGTGATTTTTTTTAAGTGAAAATAGGTCAATGTGTACATGGATAACGAGTTTGTGCAATTCTTTGACTTGTTATTTTGTCTTTCTGTAGCAACGATTTTTGGCACTAAAATCGCTGCTACACAAAGCCAAAATAACAAGTCAAAAGAATTGCACAAACTTGGTATCCATGTACCACTAAATATCACCTTTTTTCGCCAAGGGGTACCCGTAAATATCATTTTACCAATATTTCAATTATAAAAAGAATACAACTAATAATAAATAGCATGCAGTAATCACTATAGTAACTTTTCATGTTACGTATACAAATGCTACTTTAATCAGCATGTTATAAACTAAAAACACTTTTTCCTGCAATGTCTTAAAAAATTAAATGAATAAAACTTGAAGATATATTTCAGTATCTTAAATTTACTATAGCCAGATTATATTAATGCAATAATGAAGGCCTTATTATAATCACCAGTTTTGTCTCAGTTCCCATCGAGCAACTGTAAAAGTATCTTAAGGAAAATATGTTATTCAATGCACTTAATTATTGAACATACAGAGGTACCATTTATTATTTTGAACAATTCATTATTCAATACACTTTATGCAAAGATTTTGGTGTAAAATTAAGATACTTCTTTGTTACGGCGGCCCCCAACTATATTTCAGACTTGGCATATTTTAGATTTTCGCTAAGATCTCAGCTATAAATTCGCCAAGCTCATGAACTGCAAACGTAAAAATAAACAACACAATATACAACGATAACAGCAATAATATTCACGTTGTTTTCTAAGAATATTTTTAAGAATCCTTAACCTTATTATTATTTTATTGCGTGTAACGGTTCCAGTCAACTGCAGCATTTTCACACATATTAAAATGTCTATTACACCATTCCATGGATGTCAAATCCTCTACTCAAGAATACATAAATCTAAGAGCAGTAAGAAATGATATTCTGGAACTGCTGAACATATTTCCAACATGATGGATCTTTTCTTTTGGCAATTTAACACTGCACCTTCAAATGGTTTCATCTTTAACATAAAGTTTCATGTTGCGGACATTTTCGTATATTCATTTGTCAGGTAAAAGATCTCTTTCTTGAAAATATAATATCACAACCACCTCATTAATTGATAAATTAAAGATTGTTAATGTCATATCCCCCCAAAAGCAATGAATATATTTTTTAATAAACAATGCAAATTCAAAAACCTCATAAAAATGAATAATAGAAGAACACATGGCGAAAGAAAAAACATAACACAGTGCTAATATACAATTATGTGACAAGGAATATGCAACTGGCGCTAATATACGATCACGTGGCGAGGTATAAGAAAACGCAGCCAGATTTTGGCGAGATATCTCGGTAGATTGGTGATTCAGTCTCGAGGGCTGCTATAATAAAGTGCAAAAATTTATATAATGCCAAATATCAAAGTTACATTCATACTTAGTATTTTACAGATTATTCAAGTTAACATACCCATACTTTTTTTTAACTTAAATAATTACAATCAGCAAATCATCAATGTTAAGATAGTATTTTTTACTACTGCTAATAATTATAAAATTTTTATGCAATTTCAATTAAAATAACCAAGTTCTAAAAATGCTTATTTATTACCATACATTACTGTTACCATACAATTTCCATAAGCTCTTTTCATAAAAATACAAAATTATTATCGAGTTAAAAAAAAATATGCTCTAAATTTTACAGAAAATTAAAAACTTACTGGGTAGCCAGTAGCATAATGAACAGAACAAACTAGATCAATAGAATCACCTATATTTGCATACTGCTCTTTTGTGATATAAGAAATGGTTGGATTCTGTTGCCCATATACTGAAAAAAAAAAAAGGTTAATAAAATTTATTAATGTGCAACAATTACTTTTAAAGACAAATTTCTAAAATTATGTCAAATAACTAAAACAACATAACGTACTGCACTCTGAATATTATTTTATAATATTCAGAGTGCAGCAAACGTTCAATACAGCATTTTAAAATACAATGCAAAGGAGAAATTTTTCATATTCTGTCAAATCGTTCTCAGAACAGCATGTTGTCTAAATTCAATTACAAAAATTCACCTTTTTTATCACTGCTAAACTGATATTAGATATTAGCACCTCATTCTGAATAATATTAGAGCATAAAATCCAATTAAATGTAACACATAAAAGTACAAACGATAGTGGAGTGTTATAAGCCAGTTATTTTCCAATACAAACAAGATGATTTTAATGCTCGTTTAAAAAATTTTCTTAAAAAGTACATCAATTAAAATAATTTTATAAATCAACAGAACTTCTTAATGAGAAGAAATTAAGTTCAGCATATATAACCACTTAGCATATTACACATAAAATGTTAATCACCATAGGAAACATAAATAGCTGTGAAATAAAGAAACCAAATGATTATTTTAAATTAACAATGAATAATAATATGTGATAATTGGCTGTTTTACCTTAATGAGAAGAAATTAAAGTTTAGCATACATAACACATATACCCACATTTTATGTGCACTTTACTGCACATAAAATGTTATTTATCATAAGAAACATAAATAGTGTTGAGAATCAAGCATTCAATTAATATTATGTGCAGTTTCAGTGGCATCATTGTTTTATTGTTTTATTATGTTTTATGCATCTGGCATCACTGTTATTTTTATCATTCTAAAAATTTGTCATGTAAACAGTAAAATCATCATTTTAGTTTCTTAATTTCACAGCTATTTGTTATAAAAGACATACATAAGTTCTCTCTACTTTTTTGTTAATAAAATCCAAAATACAATTGTCCATCACTCTGCATGTTAATTTTATAACAAATAGCTGTGAAATTAAGAAACTAAATTATTATTTTAAATTAACAAAAATAATAAACTGCCAATTGTTTTACCTTCTATCAAGATTCAGAAAGTCTTATAGTTGCAGTTCCTGCAAATTTAAAGTACATGTATATGCCTTATAAATATAAAAGAGAACACGAGTTTGTTCAAACTGTTAACAAAAATGGATACATTCCATTAAAGCTATAGCATTAAGCAATCCTTTTTCCCCTTTTGGGGCAGATGTTGCCAGTTTTGTGGGACTTCTTTCCTGATAATAATTGTCCTTACAATAAAGATCAGGTAACAATCATTATCATCTAATCAGATGTTTTCTTTTTCTCTTTTCTTTTGTGTGTTTCCAGGTGCTCTTGAATAATCCTAAACTCTTAAGGTCATATCCCACATCCAAAAACGTTTAAGAACAACTCTTTCATACAATTTCTCTGCTTTTCACATGATATAAAACAGCCAATTACCACAGATCATTTCGAGGTTACCAAATAAAGGGAAAACTGGTTCTCCATTACAAATGATAGGAGACGATGCGGAAAGCTGATTGGTTGCTAAAAACAAACAACTTAAAAAAATTTTTGCAAAAGGGAAGAAAAAATGTGTCTTTCTTTCAGTGGTAAAGTAGGTAGAAAAATTCTTTGAAATAGTTGTTTGTCAAAACAAATGGATGTGTGATAGCAGTCTTAACAGCTTCTGCTTACAAGAAATTTGTCCATCACTGCATTTAATTTCCAAAATGTACTTTTGATGCAAGCAGAGCTTAAATTACGCCGGAGCCCACCAGAGCCTGGCTCCAGTACTTTTTGGGATAAATCATAATTCTAGCCGGAGCTCTAAATAAACAAATTCAGTAGAAATTTCATCTTGAAAATTTTATTTTTTGCAATAAACTTATATTACAAATTGCTTATTAAATTTTAATTTTAATTACTTAACTGTTTTAATAATAATTAATTATTTTTTGGGTACTATTCGGTTTTGAGAGCCGTAAAAAAATTCCAACGAAAATGGATGCGCAGCGCCAAATCTAGCAAACACGCCCATTTAACAGTGTGCCAAATCTAGCATACGCGTGATTTCAGATTGCATAAGTTTATATAGTTCTATATTCTAACACGCCATTGAAATATGGTTTAATTTTTAATTCCTTTTCTGACCTATAGATTTAATAATTGGGAATTGCCCATGATGAAAGTCTGCGATAGAATTTTGGGTAAAGTGCAGAATCCCCATGCTTGACATTTTTAAGAATTGCACATATCGGTATCCATGTACACATCAACTATTTTCACTTAAAAAAAAATCCCAGAATTGCACAAAAACGGCACTGCGCCACCCTGACTTTATCTATGTACACATCGACTATTGTCACTTAAAAAGTAAAGAAAATGACAATCCAAATGTTTTTTCCCTTGTAAAAAGCGGCAAACAAATAAGTGGGCGATTCTGCACTTTACCGAGAATGTTTCAAAGAAAAAAGGCATCATTCATTAAAAAAAAATTATGTTTGAACAACCAACGAGATGACATTATGCTTTAGCGATAACTCTGGTTAGGAAATATTACATCAACTTAACTTTCATCTAAATAAAAATCAATATTAGATAGTTATTTATTATATTTCCTTTCTTGCGTTAGGGTTGCCGCAATTAATTTTGGCAGCATTGGCATCAATAATTTTGACGATTTTTTAGGCCCTCGAAACCGAATAGTACCATTTTTTAATTAAATAATCGAAAATATTATATATACAATTAATAATAATTATTTGATAATAATTAACTATTTAATTTTTAATATTAATTATTTATAATAATTATTTATTATTTTGTTCCTCTTTGCTGACGGTTTTCCATAGGGGTCCGGCACTTCTAATTTTAGAAATTAAGCCCTGAATGGAAGATAATTAAACATACTGTAAAGGATTAATTATGATTGTTGTTTAACATCTATGGATTATTTGCTACTTTGTAAAACTGACAAATTCTGATTCAAAGAAGAATTTCTGTTTTGCTGTTTTTTTATTCAGAAATACTTTATCACAATATTTGATTATTAAAAATTGAATAAAAGCTTAGAAAAAAAATGTAGCAGGGAAGTTTCTTTTTATGCATATTTAATATGCCAAATAATCATAGCATCTAGATATTACCAAATACTCAGCATCTATCCTGGATATGCTGGACAATGGATACATTGGTTGCATCACTAACTTAAATAGCCAGACATTGGTTGCAACACTAACTTGAATATTATACACAAACTTTTAGAAAATCTGATTCAGTAAATAGTTCAACATTTTATTTGGTAATAAAAGTTTCATAAATTTTATATAATTATAAAAATTATTTTTGGTACTGTATAGCAGCCTAGGCAAGAAAGTGGATCTGGTGCATTTCTGCACTGGCAAGAAATAAATGTTTGCCGATCCGCATATGTGAGAAACAAATTGTTAGCAATCTAACTTGAGTCAGCAATTTATTTTTTCTACGTCAGCATATTTCAGAACTGTGAGACTTCAATGCACATAGTGGAGTGGGGCATGGTGGATGCCGTGAGACAGCTACAATGATAATAAAATTAACTATATATTAATAATTGTATAATTACCAGAATAATAATAAAAGAGATCCATTAGAGTGGCAGTGATTAAAAGTGTGCCACTTTGTTTGCCACCAATTAGTTCCAAGTTTAAAATTATGAAATTATAATAGAGTTCAAAAGACTAAAAAAACTTACTTTTGTAAAAAGTAAGTTTTTTGTTTAATTTCATAATTCTTAAAGAAAGCAAATTTTTCTTTTTAATTTTTAATCTAGAATATTCAACACCTAAATAAAAAATAACAAAATGAATTTTAATCTAAAAAGGTGGCATAAAGAATATTTTACACATAAAAAAAAGGAAATTCAATATTCAACAAGTGGCATAATATTACAAATATCATTAAATATTATAGACAAAATTTCAGTTTTTAAATATAACTGGCACCACATAAATTCTATCAAATATGACTCAAAATTATGGCAAGCAGTGCTCCGCTAGCGTTTATTTCTGCATTTAGCACTGCTCCACAATTGTTCCACAGTTCGGGTATGGCATCCAGTTTCGAGTCTACAAAATTATAATTCACAGTGAAATGTTCATACCCAACATTTCTTAATTCCTTTTTCTTATATCCTTTTCAGCAGTCTGAAATTATAATGCTGCCATCCACGATGTTTTCCTGAATTGCTGTCATCAGTGTTGTAGCACAACGATCATGAAAGGCGACCAGAAAACATTTTTTGCTTTCCCGGTATAAACCCCCAAATAATCCAGAAGGGCACTTCCAACCTTGTTTTTTTTTTTTTTTCTTTTTGTGAAAACGCTTTCTTCTATTTCTATAATTTTGTTGGCTTTACCGATTTTATTTCTTTTATGAAACATCAAACTACTTACACCTACCTCCTTCAAGTATTTATTCGGTTAATCTTTGGATTATGGTAACTCGGAAATTTTTTGGCAAAAATTTGGCAACCAACCCTGCTACAGCAACCTGCTAGTTTTTTTTTTTTTTTTTTTTTTTTGAAGCCATTTTCTTTCAGAAGTATAAAGCATTTTTTTTTTTTTTTTGTTTTTACTCAAATTTTTTTCAACAACTGCTAGCGAATTGTGCTATGCTAGAACTTTTATGGAACAAAGTGCTTCATGACGAAGATTAGGTGCGAAAATTGGGAGAAAGTGCAGAATGCCCACTGCGCCAGTTTTTACGATTGCAATACACGGTGTCATCCATGTACACATCGACCTATTTTCACTTTTAAAAAAATCCTAGAATTGCACAAAAATGGCATTGCGCACACTCTTCACTTTATCCATGTACACTGCTAAAGTCCTAGCTTGTTTACCACGTTTTTAAGAATTGCACATACACGGTATCATCCATGTACAAGTCAACCTATCGACCTTTAGCCATTTATTCCAATCTACTGCCGCATTATGGGTGATTCCTAACTGAAGTTTGCAAAATTCAATCAACAGCAATTCCTGATACCACAGATAGATAAAACGAACAGCATTGAGTAAAGAAAGGTGCCAACCTTCAAATCCTGTTTTGGTTCTCAACACATTTTTGTTTTTCACAGCAAGAATGTACATAACAATGCCATATTGGAGCTTTCTTTGAGTCAAAAGTTAACTTCATAGAATGATTTTGAGAACAAAGTCAATTGCTATGAATTATTCCTTTGCCCTGAAGGAATAAATGGCAGCCTCTTCATCATTAGATAATTTCCTAAATGGCAGCCTTGGTACTTACGTACTATGATGACTACATTGGCAACATTTGCCAATAAAAATCTTCGTTTTTTTTTTTTTTTTTGGTGGTGGTTTTTTTTTTTTTTTTTGTATTTGGCATTTCATTGTCGTTTCAATGCACAAAAAGGCTTTTGTCAGTCATTCCAGGCCTTCCAATTTTAATATTTTCATTATCCTCCAAATCCTTCACAGACACTTCACACATATAATTATTCCAATCAATACCAGTCTTATTGGATAAATCCAACTGATGTTTGCACCATTTAATGGACAACTGTAATTATGCCCAAAAGTAAATAAATCTTAAAGCTTTTAAAAATTCAATATAACTGCTTTGAAACCATGTACCAGTTCGGACACCAAACTTTTGTTGACAATTTTTGACATTGCACCTCCAATAAAATCCCAAATTATAAAATTTGCTATCATGGCCATTTTAACAAACGCGTTCTTTGAGAAAAATCCAGTCTCTCTGAAAAATTCTATCATTTCTTCTTCATTTGAAGGAAGATAGAAAATGTTGATATCCATTTACAAAAAAATAATCACAAAAAGTTTCATGTGTTTAACCTAAAGGTAATGATCCATGTAAATGTAACAAAAAAAGGTGTGATAATAGCAAGTGCGGAATAATACTCTTTATTTTAGCTCCCTCTATAACCTATGTTAGAGTTAACCTGTATAACCTACAAGGGTTGCCAGTTTTGACGATATATCTAGGTAGTTGTCATACTACATAAGTACCGCAGCCTCTTCATCATTAGGTAATCTAATTATGTAGTCAGTAAAAATATATTTCAGGGTGTCTCTTGGCAAAAATTAGCGATTGGCCAGCACTGCACAATTTCAAGATGGCCGCTACGCAAAACCAAAACAAAACAAACCAAAACAAAAGTCAAAGAATTGCACAAACTCCATATTGTGCACTCCCTTGACTTTGCCCATGTACACATTGATTTATTTTCGCTTAAAAAAAAATCGGGCAAACAATGACGAGATATAATGTAGAAATTTCTATTCCTTAACAGCATCCAAAAACTTTCTAAAATTATCTGAACTGAATATACATACAGCCAACACCATACAAATTCACAAAAATAAGAGTTGCAAATATTCTCTGTAATGCCAGACTGTTGGTGGCATTTCTTGCAACAAACCCATTCAAAGTAATCTCAACGATCTTCACATTCGACTATATGCATTTTCTTCATACAAGCAGGACACTTATAATGACTACTAAGTAAACTTTCATTTACACACCAATCAATTAATGCTTCTTTTTCTCTTTTGTTCCAAATCGTACAGAAACTTCAGATTAATCTCATCGCATACAGCCATTTCACAGTGTACAGCACAAAATAAGCAACATACTTTTAAACTGGCATCCAATGCAGAAATAAGCCCTTACAAATATTTTCCCATCAGTCAAATTCACCACAATCGCACAACCAATAACGTCATAATAGAGTTTCCATAACGTCAGAGTCGTAGCTAAGAGTTTTCAGCGCCCAGGGACAACTGAAGATTTCGTGCCCCCTACTGCTTGCCAAGGATGGAAAACATTTAATTCTAAAATGTCATAACATCAGTTTGGCGTCCCTTGGATTCTGCGCCCAGAGACAGATGCCCCCTTTCCCCCCTCTAGCTATGCCCCTGCATAACATTCAACTACTCAGGTTATCATAAATGAAACAACAATTTAGCTCTAAATGAAACAACAACTTGATGATAATCCAAGGGGCACCCTAAAATATAGACTAACCGTGTAGTCCATTGTACTAAAAAAACGATGAAATATGGTCTGATGATATTTCAAATGATTAAAGAACTTCTTCTGTATGGATAACGAATTAATTACCAATTTATCATCTACTACAGTCAGTTTTATTTTCATGGATGTTCCTAATTTTAGACAAACTGTACTTTTTTCAGAGTGAAATAAATCAATGCCGTTTTCTCTTGCTTAGGCCAGTATAGAAAATAAGAATTGTACTTTTATTTGTAATTTTAGTCTGTAAGAGAAAATTTTTCAAGAAGACATAACTATTATACAAGACAACATAAATTTCTTCCCGCTTTACACCCAAACTTATATACACAAAATCACATTATTTTCTACATTATGTGAGAAATACAAACAAATTTAACTGTAGAAATTGTGTAAATAAATTTCTTGAAAATGTAAGAGCAGAATTGGAAATAGTTTTAATAATTATCAAATCACATTACAAGCATTTCTGAAATTTTTGCAATAGGTTACTATTTTAGCATAAAATTTCAAATAAAAAATTTGAAGATTGATTCTATACAAAACAAACTTGTTACTTAGTTTACTAATGAGCTCATATAACTACAAAACTACAGTTATACCCTATTCTTTTCTAAGGACATACTTAAAAAACCATTTAGGAAATGACTTGCATGCTTTTTACACAGTCTAATGTACTTAAATAATATTTAATAATTTGTTTTTAATATAATATCGCTTTATAATGCAAAATATAATTTACTGTAACAAAAATGAATTAGTTATAGAATATTCTGGATTTCTTTGATGATTTTCTACATCAAAAGAGGGGAAAGAAAAAAAAGATAATAAATGCCTACACCAGGGCATAACAATTACATAAAATTTTAGAAAAAATATCAATAATAACAGACTTAAATTTTTCCTTCGATATTTTAAGGAATCTAATTTTGCATCGCTTGTCATTGCCACTTGCATTTAATTCCCCTTAACCTGAAGAAAACAGCAATTCAAAATAAATACCTGTAATCGCTGAATTTAATAAGCAGAACAGTTTTTAAAAATTAAAATTACTTTAAAAGTTCAGACACAAACCACACCCAAAATCTATAATCAGAAGAATTATGAATTATTACATACCTGCAAACAATTTTACAGCAGATATTAGCAGATAAAAAACTAATTTAGGTACATACATTTTTCGAAGCGCATATATGAATATTAATAAATTTCTTGGAGAAAGAAATGATGTAAAAAAAATACAAAATCGTTACGCGCGTTGGTTGATCAAATACGGTTATGATCCCTTAGTTTAATATAAGCTCAATATTGGTAATTTGTTCTTCAATCTATAACTTCATGACCTTACTGTAACGCATTAACGTTTCA